ATCTTTCAAACAAACACAACTTCTCTGACTGACCCATTTAAATAATCAAATACCTAGTTATAGGTAGATTTTCGACTGTGTGAGAGTTTGGCACCCCTAACCTCCGCATTGTTTAATGATCAACTGTAATTTGCTGTCCTGCCTCCTGAACTCCATGGAGCTTGGTGGGTGAATTATCTAGAAATTTATTATACTTATGTCCTTTTATAAGTAGTACATTAAAACAATTTGTACTTTTTTAAAGTCCCAAATTTTTGAGGTTCTTAGATTTAACAGTAAGTACTAATTGGTGATTTCTTCTTCATTAAGAAACATCATGTTCTTTATTCATCCTGTCTTGCTCATGGGAACACCTACTGTTTAAGCTCTAAGAGGATTTGGCAGGGGAAGACTCTCTATGGAGTCAATCTAGCTTCATAGATTCTCTGACAGCAGGGGACAGAAAAGACATACAGAGACACATGTGCACACACATGCGAGAGCACACACACACATTACTGAATTGGGAGTAGAGAAACACCTTTCTTTTTTAAGAGGCAATCTTTTTCTATTTTTTATTTATTTACTCTGCTATGCTTTTATTTTTTAACTCATCTTTATTGTTGAATGTATTACAGATGTCCCCCCTCAATTTTTCCCCATTGACCCCCTCCTCCCTAAACCTGCCCACCTCCTGCCTTCCCTACACTATTGTCAATGTCAATTGGTTATGCATATATGCATAGAAGTTCTTTGGTTTATCTCCTCCTGCCTTCCCTCCCCCCTTCCCTTTGAGGTTCATCAGTCTAACAACCAATTTGTACTTCTTAATTCCTTTCTTAATTCCTTTATCTTTTTCATCCATCCCTCCAACCACCCACCCTCTGGCAAGCAACAAAAAGTTATCTGTATCTATGAGTCTGTTTCTGTTCTGCTCACTCATTTTGTTTGTAGATTCAATTGTTGATAGATGTGTAATAATTGCCATTTTATTGTTCATATTTTTGTTCTTCTTCTCCTTAAAGAAGACCCTTCAACATTTCATATAATACTAGTTTGGTGGTGATGAACTCCATTAGCTTTTTCTTGTCTGGGAAACTCTTGATATGTCCATTGATTCTAAATAATAGCTTTTCAGGATAGAGTAATCTTGTTTGTAGGTCATTGCTTTTCATCAGCTTGAATATCTCTTGCCACTCCTTTCTGGCCTGCAAAGTTTCTTTTGAGAAATCAGCTGACAGTCTTATGGGAGCTCCTTTGTAGGTAACAAACTGCTTTTCTCTTGCTGCTTTTAAGATTCTCTCTATCTTTAACCTTTGACATTTTGATGATGATGTGTCTTGGTGTGGACTTCTTCAGGTTCATCTTGTTTGGGACTCTGTGCTTTCTGAACTTGTATCTGTTTCCTTCACCAAGTTAGGGAGGTTTTCTAACATTACTTTTTCAAATAGGTTCTCAATTTCTTGCTCTCTCTCTTCTACTTCTGGCACCCCTATGATATGAATGTTGGCACGCTTGAAGTTGTCCCAGAGGCTCCTTACACTATGCTCATTTTTTTTATTATTATTCTTTTTTCTTTTTGCTGTTCTGATAGGGTATGTTTTTCTTCCTTATATTCCAAATCAGTGATTTGCTTCTTCTTGGCTTTCTTGCTCTACTATTGATTCCCTATAAATTATTCTTTACTTCAATTAATGCATCCTTCATTTCTGACTGGTCCTTTTTTATGTTGTTGATGTTCTCACAAAGTTCCTTGGAGTTCTCCTTAAGTTCCCTGAATGTTTCACTAAGTTCCTTGAGCATCCTTATAACCGGTGTTTTGAACTCTGCATCTGATTGATTGCTTATCTCCATTTTGTTTAGTTCTTTTCCTGGAGTTTTGTTCTTTTCTTTCACTTGGGACATGTTTCTTTGTCTCCTCATTTTGGCTGCTTCCCTGTGATTGTTTCTATGTAATAGGTAGAGTTGCTATGTCTCCTTAGGCCTCATAGGTTGACCTATTGTTGTAGGTGTCCTGTAGGATCTTGTGGCACAGCCTCCTTGATCACCCAAGCTGGTCCCTTGAGGTGCACCTTTAATGTGAACTGTACACCCTTCTGTTGTAATTGAGTCTTGATTACTTTTGGCATGTCAAAGGGAGAGATTTACTCAGGCTGATCAGCTGCAAGGTCTGGCTGTGCCCACTGACCACTGGCCTCTGACTACCTTGGAGAATCAGCTGTGTAGGAGCCCACCACACAGGGCAAGACTTACTTCAGCAGGGCTTTGGTACCCACTGAGTCTACTCATTTAGTGTCTCACTTGTGGAGCTGGTTGGGTGGTGGTGTTTCAATGTGGTCTGAAGCTGTCCACTGGGTGTGCTGGGTCAAGATCAGCCACTGCCTGTGTTCTATCCAGGGCCACCTGGCATAAGCTACAAAGTGATCTGCTGATGGTTGCTTCTTGTGCTGGGCTTGGAGGTGCCCAGGAAAAGCCAAGTTGTGAACCAAGGCTGGCTGCTTCTAGTGCCAGGCCTCAGGCCACTTAGTGAAAGGTGTGGGGCTTGATATAGCCAGATGCTGCTTATTTGAAAGATTTAAGGAAACTCTGAAGCAGAATCCAAGACAGGGCAATCCTATGGTAGAGCCTTTGGAAACAGCTTGGGTGGGCCCAAAAGTGGGTGGGGCAGGGCCTCATGGAATAACCAGGGTGGGGTAAACAGTGTGAGCCAGGTTGCTGGAGTCCCAGATGTGGCAACCATCTGCGGCCCAGGGAAAGGGCTCACCAAAGGAACAAAGGCCTCTGCCAGCACGTCTGTCTGAGAGAAATCTGCCTCTCCAGCTCTCGTCCAAAGGCCAAACAGCTCAGTTCTTCCTGTATGTCCCTGGTGCCTTTCAAGCTGCCTCCCCTCCAAGCTTAGAGGGAACAAGTCTGAGTAAGTTCATGCACAGGCCCTTTAAGAGGAGCTGCCTGGGGCTCCAGCAGCCTTAAGAGGCAGTCTTAAGTTATCTGTGGGACAAAAGAATGTGAGTTTTCTAATCAAGGAATTAGTGAAGAGGACAGTGCAAGTTAAATACGGAATGTTCCCTTCATTGCACAAGCAATGCATTCTGTTAGTATAAATAACATCTTTCATCTTCAGAACGCCAAGATCAATTTATCAGCCTCACCTAGTTTATATTTCTCTCCTGATCAAGAATCGAGTTCACAATTTACTTCCTAACTCTCTAGCCAATTACTAGGATGCCTTTGTTTCTCCTCTTTTAGTCATTTGATTCCTTGGGCACACCACAACTCCATATTAACCCAACTATATGTTGTGTATACTTCTGCATTTAGATTGACAAGTGTTGCTGATGGCATTACAAAAAAACATACATTAATACCAGTATAACTGCATGGTGATCAATCTCAATTAGTTCATCCACACTGTCCACAGGCTATGGTATTGAACAACATATAGTCAGAGCCTGAGTGAGAGGTGGTTAAGCCAAGGGCTATACAGATAGTATAATCTGAAAAAGTTTATTTTATTGATACCAGTGCCCTGATTGGAAACTAAGATGAATTGTCATAATTCAGAAGGATTTCTGGGTGGGTCTTAAACATGAACATGACTGAGAATAATTCAAAAGAAAGTCTGTTGATCTTACAAAAGAGTTATAATGCCATAGAAATCAAAGCCTGGGTAACAAAATCATTCATACAATTTCCTAAACCTGCACTAGTAGGAAACAAGTCGCTAAAGTAGCAGAACCCTCTGAAGAATCCCCCACCCTAGTCTCCTCCAATGTATGGCCACTGAGATCAATGAACAAGGGAAACTTTCGCAGAGAACAGAACAGAAAGAATACAAATTGACTAAAGAATTCTCAACGCCAGCAATTTTCACCCAGTGTGCCACAAGAATTTTTAATACATGCAAATGCAATTCCTGACTATTTAGTCAGGGGCACTGTCCTCTTTTCCCTTAGATTGTCAAATAAAAAAATGACAACAGCCAACATAACAATAGTGGACTGATGTGAATGAATCTACATTATACCTAGTTTTTTGTCATATCAGCAAAAATATACTTTTTGGTGTGCCATAAAAGTTTAGTGATTAGTTTATGTGTGGCATGAGATGCAAAAGGTTAAAAATAACTGCTCTACACTTGCAGAAAAAAAAGAACTTTGCTATTCTAATCAGTAGGGTGATGCATTATGTTGTTATTGCTGTCTTTTTTCCCTTTTTTGATGTTTCTAAATGAAAAACTTATTTTAATCCTCACCTGAGGATTTTTTTTCAGATAGAGTGGGAGGGAGAGAAAGAGAAAGAGAGAAACATGAATGTGAGAGAGACACATTGATCGGTTGCCTCCCACACAATCACAACCAGGAATCGAACCCACAACTGAAGTACATTCCCTTGACCAGGAATTGAACCTGAGACTCTTTGATCCACGGGCCAACACACTAACTGCTAAGTCAAACCAGCCAGAGCTCTAAATGAAATTTGTATTGTAGTTATCCTATTAGTCCTCCTTCAATGGCTTGTCTGTGAATAATTAAATTAATCTAGAATGCAGAAATAAAAACTGTCTTCCATTTGGATTGGTTAAAGTGATAGACACAACACCCAGAGATCCTAGACTTAGCTGAATGTGGTAAATGAAATAGGCTGCATTATTTATATTAACTCATTCATTCTTAGAAGTGAGTACATGTCCACCTTGGTCTATCTGGGCAGACAGCCAAAGTAGAAAAAGCACAGATGCTTCTCACAGTAGTCCACAACCCACAGAATGTCATCAAGTGTGATAGAATAGAACATGTTGTGTCTGTGATTCCATGTAGGAGTCAAGTGGGTGAACTCAAACTTCCGGTGACTGCCCACATGATGATGCCAAGTCTGCAGATCAGAAGTTTGGGGGCACACTTCATATCATACCATCTGTTCTGGTTCAGTGCATAAGAATCCAAGTCTCTGAGGAAGGTGACATGGTGTGCAACTCACTGGACCAAGAACTTTGGCTGCCACCTCGTTTGGGAAGCCTGGTCATGAGGTTCCTTCTGATCATTGCAATTCTGCTGTTCCAGAAGCCCACAGGTAATCCAGCATTTTCCAGTAGATGGAAATAGGTCCTCTAGGGATGCCTGAAGTCTACCCAACATTATCAGAAATTCCCTCTTCCTGAGGTCTTCTACCATGGTACTGTTCTTAAAAAGAAGGGCTCAGAGCTGAAAAGAGACCATAATTTCCTCTGGGAAGGTCTCATTGTAGAAAAGAATGAACTAAATACGTAGGGAAGCCCCTATTTCTTTGGATACAGTTTTAACTCTGGGGATCCAAACATACTGTCACATATATATACATACACACACACACACACACACACACACACATATACATACATACATGCACAGATATTATACTACAGTGCGAATAGTGAAAAAAGCACAAACTTTGCAGTCAGGTTTGAGAAACAGACCTTGAATGTCTACTACTAATTTGTCAACTTTGGATAAATGGTGAAGACTCTTTAAGCCTCAGTTTCCTCACTCGTGGAGATAATGACATCTGACTCATGGGGGCCTTATTAAATGATACAACATTTGTGAAACATTTAGCACAGGGTTTGGCACACACTAAGAACTTAAAGTTAGTTTCCTTTTCTCTTCCTTTTTTTTTTTTTAGCAGAGGCCTGCAGACTCCTCAGATGTAACACATGGCACTGCACCAATACATGAGAACAAAACCCCATCATTTTTAGCTATGTTTCTGTTTTATGAATACACTTGATAAGCTTTTAACATAGTACTTAAACACAGTAAGCATTTGATAAGTGTTTGATAGTATTATTAATAATGTAGTGTTGTCATTTATATCCATTTAACACTGATGTAAATATAGATTTTTGGAAAAATTATTTGCCTTTATCTGATTAGCCTGGAATTTATAAAAGAAGTTCCAATATTTTTTAAAAATCTTAGACCCGCCCTGGCCGGTTTGGCTCAGCGGTTAGAGCGTCGGCCTGCGGTACTGAGAGACCCGGGTTCGGTTCCCGCTAAGGGCATGTACCTCGGTTGCAGTTTGTCCCCGGCCCTGGTTGGTTGTGCGGGTGGCAGCCACTCGATGTGTCCCTTCACATCGATGTTTCTCTCTCTCTCTCTTCCTCTCTCTCCCTCCGCTCTATCAGAACAAAGGATGGAAAAAATGTCCTCGGGTGAGGATAAAAAAAAAAAAAAAAAAAAAAAAATCTTAGACCCTTACCTTCAAAACCTAAAATGAGGTATAATAACAATAGAAACTCTTCATTGAACATTTCATTTAATCCAGGGCCTACAGTAAATGTTCTTTAAACTTCACTCCTAATCCACACAATGAGTTTCACAGGAAGGTATAACCTTCCTCTTACTGAAATGGGAACTAAAACTGAAATATGTTAAGTAATTTCCTCAAAGCCACCCTTCTATTAAGGGGAAAGACTATTATCAAATTCCTTGTGCATCTGACTCAAAAGCTCATGTCCTTAATGATCACATATTAATCATTACAGTCAATTGTACATTATTTTGGTTAAAAATAACACATGTAGGCAAAAAAAAAAAAATCTGAAAAGGTTACATTGTGTCAAGGAATCCCGGAAAACCCTGCTTTTCAGGCTAGAAAGGTTCAAGGTCTCTCTTTCAAAACCATATCAATTACATTTGTCTCTTATTATAGTAATAGTAATTATCTGTCCCTGGACCCCTAATTCCTAAGAATAAAAGGAGTTCTACAACCTGGGATTGGAAGCAGCATCTTTGTTCTCAGTCTTCATCCACTGGGATCTATTCTAGGAGATTGTACCAGCTCAGAAACCAAAATTTGAACATCCTAACTCTTAGGTCATTAAAAGTATTTAGGATCACTAAAGGAAAGAATATATATCAAGGTGAGCAAAGATCTGGGGCTGAACATTGGAGGAATTCTTGCCATTGGAGGTAGAGGAAGAATGAGGAGTCATAGAGGAATAAAGTGAGTCCAAGATTATTTTGATGACATAGAAGGCAAAGGAAGATATGCATTGGCAAAAAAATGTATAATGCTAAGAATTAACAGGGGAGGGAGATTATTGAAGAAAAAAGACCTGACTGGACACAAGAAAGTCATTCTTGGCCATGGAAGTATGAACTCAAGAGCATAGTTTGAACCAGACATAAATACATAGTAAAAAATCATTCTACTCTGGGTATTCGAGGTGGGGAAGTGATTTAAAAATTAGTGCCCTGGGAACATTCAAACAGAGGTAGATTTGCTGAGGTTCCCAGATGGAGCACAGTGCCATACCCTGAAGTCAAGAATTCATCTCCTTTTATTTTCCCAAACAACATCTGCTGGGAGAGTCCATTAGATGTTGGCTGGAAGCCCAAAACCTTGGAGGAATGAAATATGAGTGATCAGATAGACATAAACACTGAGGTTTACCTTCTTGGGGCATCCTCCATGGGATATTGTGGGTTTCTGCCTTGTGAATCTCCCATACACCTAATCCCTACAAACATCCTCTATCCTCCCCATGTGTAAAGTTGCCTTTCAGTCTCAAACACTGACCTTGGCCTATTGTTCTTTATGTGCACAGTAACTGAACAACTTAAAAGATGCTGGAATCAATATGTACGAGGATACTGCAGGAAAATATGCAAAGTAAGTGAAATACGTGAAGTACAATGTGAAAATGGGAAATATTGTTGCATCAGTATCGTGGAACTGGAAGCACGTAGAAAAATTCCAAAGCCAACTCGTCCAAAGCCAATTACATATGCAATGACTTTTCCTCAAGATTATTATGCATATCTAGGATATTATTTAATCCCCAAGACAAATTATACTAAATCAAGTATAATTCCCCATTGATTTACTTCTTAACCTATCCCAAAATACTAAAGTAAAGAAATCCACATCTTTTTCCTTCTGGTTCCTTAATCCTCAGAAGACCTTAAAGCATATTCTAATAAAGTTCATTGCCAGTTTTCTGACTTATTTCTTCTTTAACCAATGATTGTACATTCAATATACTAAGTGATGAATTGATAAGAACATCTCAGAACCTCCTCTTGAAAAGGGGATATAACCCGTGCACACATACACAAAAACAAAATCTGTGATATGGAAAACTGAAACAAGAAACAAGAAAGTAGACATGTAATTCAGGAGAGGGAAATGTGAAGCTGAGAATTCAGGGGACATTCATGAATGAGTTTAAAGTGGTGCCTTGTGGAATGTGTCAGATTTCAACATGTGACTGATAGTACAGAAGGTGAGGCACAGTGCCGATCTGTTTGAGAGAACATATTAAAATAAACAAATGGAAGGAAATTAGAAAAGACAGGACATTTCAGGAGAATATATATGCACTTAGGTTTAAGAGTAGAACATCCAAAGTTGAACTATGGAAAAGTCTAATTTCTTCAGTTACTGTGTAAAACAGTGAACTGGGAAGAGAGAGATGAATAGGATGTCACTACAGTAAAGCTCACTATACAAGGTGGAAGTAGACATAAGTATATAATTCCAAGACAGAGGAGTTTCTTTGTTGTTGTTTGTTTTTTTAACTTTATTTTTATTGTTGACATTATTACAGGTGTCCCCATCCCCCTCCCTTTGCCCACCTTCACCCAGCCCCCACCATCCCTTCCCGCTGGCCATCACCACACTGTTGTCTGTGTCTATGGGTTATGCATATATGTTCTTTGACTAATCCCTTCACCTTCTTTCATCCAGTCTCCCGCTCTGACCGCTGTCAGTCTCTTCCATGTATCCATGCCTCTGTTGTTGTTTTATGTGTTATCACTAGTAATGCATCCTTTTGGTGACTGGGGCCCTTTGGAGTTTGGAGAAAATATAAAAGACATAGGAACTGGTCTGAATTGCAGCATTAGGCCCAAAATCCAAAAAAATGAGAACACCCAGTGCTGGCAAGAATGTGGAATAAAACTCTCATTTATTGCAAGTGGGATATACCACTTTGAAAAACAGGTTGGGCTTTGGCTGGTTAGAGCCTCGGCCCGCGGATAGAGAACCGAGTTCATTTCCTGCTAAGGGCACGTACCTTGGTTTCAGTTTGTCCCCAGCCCCTGTTGGGATCTTGTGGGTGGCAGCCACTAGATGTGTCTCTCTCATATCGATGTTTCTCCCTCTCTCTTCCGCCATCTCTCCCTCCCACTCTATCTGAAGATAAATGTAAAAATTTTTTTAAATGTCCTCGGGTAAGGATTAAAAAAAATAATAAAAAAACAAGAAAAACAGTTTGGTAGTTTCTTACAAAACTAAATACACTTTTACCATACAATCCAGCAATTGCACTCTTTGGTGCTTACCCAAATGAGCTGAAAACTGTCCATACAAAACCTGCATACAGACTGGTGCAGCCGCTATGGAAAACAATATGGTGCTACCTCAAAAAATTAAAAATTGAACTTCCATTTGACCCAGTGATCCCACTGCTGGGAATATACCCTAAGAAGCCTGAAACACCAATCAGGAACAATATATGTACCCCCATGTTCATAGCAGCACTGTTTACAATAGCTAAGATCTGGAAACAGCCCAAGTGTCCACCAGTAGACGAATGGATAAAAAAGCTGTGGTACATATACACAATGGAGTACTATGCAGCGGTAAGAAAGAAAGATCTCTTATCCTTTGAGATGACATGGAGGGACCTGGAAAGTATTATCCTAAGTGAAAGAAGCCAAGCAGAAAAAGACAAATACCACATGATCTCACTTATATATGGAATATAATGAACATAACAGTCTGAGGAATACAGTAGACCCAGACACATGGAAGTAGGGCACAGACTGACATCCCTCAGAAGAGGGGATGGGGGGTGGGGGGGTGGGAAGAGATAAACCACAGAACTTATATGCATGTATGCATGACCAATGGACATGGACAACTAAGCCGGGGACAGAGTGGAGGGGGCGTGGGGTGGGGGGTGCCAATGGGGTAAAAAGGTAAAATATCTGTAACAAAAAAATAAATAAAAATTCATTAAAAAAAAACCTGCATACATGTGTTTATAGCAGTTTTATTCATAATTGCCAAAACTTGGAAGAAACCAAGATGCCCTGCAGTAAATCAATGGATAAATAAACTGTGGTACCTCTAGACAATGGAATATTACTTAGTGCTAAAAAGAAATGAGCTGTCAAGTCGTGAAAAGACAGGAAGGAACCTTAAATGCTTGTTACTAAGTGAAAGAAGCCAATCTAAAAAGGCTATGTTCTGTATGATTCCAACTATAGGACGTGCTGGAAAAGGCAAAACTATGGAGACAGTAAAATAATCAGGGAGGAAAGAGTAGGTAAACCATGGAGAAATTTTAGGGCAGTGAAACTATTCTATACTGTAGATACTGTAATAATGACTTTTGTCAAAAACCATAAACTGTGCAACACCAAGAGTGAACCCAAAAGTAAACTATGGACTAGTGTGTGAGCTAGGATATGCCAGTGTCAGTTCATCAATGCCAGATGGTGATAGGAGGCAGGGGGCAGAGGAGGTGCTATACGGGAATTCACTGTATTTTCCATTTAGTTTTGCTAAAACTGCTCTAAAAATAGAGCATATGAAAATATATACTGCCCCGCCGGTGTGTCTTATTGATTGAGCATTGACCCATGCACCAAGAGGTCACAGGTTCGATTCCTAGTCAGGACACATGCCCAGGTTGTGGGCTCAGTCCCCATTGGGAGGGAGCATGTAGGAGGCGGCCAATCAATGTTGTCTTTCACTGATGTTTCTATCTCTCTTTCCCTCTCACTTCTTTCTCCCTAAAATCAATAAAGGGGGAAAATTTTTTTTTTTTTTTTTTTTTTTTTTTTTTTTTTTATCCTCACCTGAGGATATTTTTCCATTTTTTGTACAGATAGAGTGGGAGGGAGAGAGGAAGGGAGAGAGAGAGAGAAACATCGATGTGAAGGGACACATCGAGTGGCTGCCACCCGCACGACCAACCAGGGCCGGGGACAAACTGCAACCGAAGTACGTGCCCTTAGCGGGAACCGAACCCGGGCCTCTCCGGACCGCAGGCCAACGCTCTAACCGCTGAGCCAAACTGGCCAGGGCAAGGGGGAAAATTTTTTTAACAAATAAAATAAAATATATATACCATTACTAAAACTCAACAGTTATTGTAGCAATTGTTTAGAACTTAAATCAATAAAAGTATTTTTTAGGGAGGAGTATTTTTTAAATGTTTTTATTGATTTTTTTAGAGAGAGAGGAAGGGAGAAGGAGAGAGACAGAAATATCCATGTTAGAGAAAAACATCAATTGGCTGCCTCCTGCACGCCCCCTACTGGAGATCGAGCCTGCAACCTAGGCATGTGCCCTGACCTGGAATGGAAGAGGTGGCTTCTTGGTGCATGGGACGACGCTCAATACACTGAGCCACACCAGGAGGGCTAGAGAGGAGTATTTTAATCAAACATAGTTTAGAATTGCCAGCACATGGTGATAATAAAAAGAGTTGGTACTCAGTTTGGCAGTCTATATCAAGGGTTTCATAATGCTTCCATGCCAATGTATGAACAAAATTTTACTCACAATGATGATTTTCAACTCTTTATTTGAAAAAAAAAAAAAAAAGCCAATAGTTTAAAGTGTCCATCAATGAAGGAATGATTAAATAAAACATTATGTAATTATTGTTATAATTATAAAAAGGACTTATAAGGATGATTATATGAAATTTTGATTATATTCCAGTTAATAACATAATAATATGCTTTGTCATAATTCAAAATAAATCAGCATACCAAACTAAAAAAAAAAAAATAGCAGACTTTTAGCGGATTTTATTATTGTTCTTAAATTTGCTACTAACAATGTATCTCCTTATTGCCTGCACCAAGGTTGAGCACTCTGTCCAACAGTTTCCCTACTTGCCAATAAAGTGAACCAGGTACAGTCACCTTCTGTCAGAAAATAACTGTTAGTACATGACTGTACAATCTGAACAACCATGATGCGCTGATAAACCAGCGCTCAGGGTGGGAGAAGACCTGGTTTTCTGATTTAAAGGATTTGCTCATTTCCTTGGTGTAAATTCTCCCATACCGCTTATTTCAAGCTACAATGTAAAGTCATTGACTGTGGAGTTGGAAGAGAGTCTCACAATGGGCTCCATCTCGCTGGTACTAGCTCCACCAGCACATCCCTCCCCAGTATGCTGATGTAGTAACCGGAGCATTTGTTCCTAAGAGCCATGTAGCTGCTGCATAAACATTCCCTCTTGGCTCATCTGACTGAAGGAGCTTTCCAGAGCCCGCCAGACAAGACTAGCTGCACTCACATGCAGCCTGGATGCTGAGATGCACATCCTGTGGGAAGAGCACACCATCCTCATTCACTCCCGTTCCCCAGCTAAGGCAATCACATTAGGTTCCGAGTCTGGAGGGATGTTGGCAATCAAGCCACAGAAAAACAGTGAGTGAATGAAAAACATGACCTCGGAAGACCCTGAGATTCAGTCAGGACTGGGGTCTGAGGTAGGCATGTGTGTGTCAGTGAATAAGTGCAAGTTCTCCTGCATGTGTGTGATCTTGTGCACAAGGATGGGTTGAAAACAACCAACCATGTGAGGCAGTCCTAGAGGGGAAGTTGTCTTAGAGTCAGAAGATGTCTCTTCCTCCATTTCAAACCACTAAAGTCACAGTTCTAATCTGCACAAAGGAGGTGGGAAGATAAGACCTTTGAACTGGATACAAAACTGGAATTTTTTAAATGGACAAAAATTTGTTGGATCTGATCAGGATAGAAATCATTAAGGCCCTGGCCGGTTTGGCTCAGCGGTTAGAGTGTCGGCCTGTGGACCAGAGAGTCCCAGGTTTGGTTCCCGCTAAGGGTTG